TATTTGTATAACGGCGAATGTCAAAAGTTAATTCCATTGTAACTAATTTAAGACTTCACAGAATCTTCAGACACATTCAATGCAACATAAAAGTGTATCTTTTGAAGCTTGTTGAAAACCATAGACGAGCATTGTCCGTATTCGATCATTTGAAAATCACAGTCCTGGTCTGAACTGTGGCCTTATTTAATACCAACTTAAAGCACATACAGATCCTCGAAATGGTCACCAGCAGAAAAACCAAAGATTCCAAAATCTAAAACTGTACTCCGTAACGTCCGTTTTAAAAAAAACGCAATGCACGTCCATATCTGAACCGGTATAAGCCTACGCGGTAACAAGCTTAGACCACACTATACGAATAGCAGCCTTTATGACATAAAACTATTAAAATGAATAACAATCACATATATAATCCGATATTAGCGAGTAGCGTATCAAAACAAATCTACCGTCTAGTATCCTAAAGCAAAACCAATGGTGCTGAATTGCTTCCGTCCTATTAAAGTCGACAGTAATCTTTAATTAGTCCCTGTAAAGCGTTCAAGAGACAATTTAAAGCCTTGAACTAATGCTATCCATGTACTGGAGGCTTTAATCGGAAGCTCAAAAAGATTATTATGAAGTGGAAGCTTTAAGAAAGTTAACGGTATGGTTGTCGAGACTAAAGGAGTGATGTATACAGTTCAAGTATAAAACTAGATAGTTGTATTGGCACAGACCGCGTTCAGTCGAATAAACGTCTAAATTATTCAACGTTTTAGCATGCTAGTCTCGCCCTATTATCCCCTCTTCGTAAATAATAGAGAAAGAGAAAGAGTCAGCTTCTGACGGTGCCGTTCAATCGATCGTTTCGCCAGATTAGCACGTCAAAGTCCATTTCAGTAAGCCAATCATTACACTCGATACATAATGACCAACCAATCAAATTACGGATGAGTAATTTAGAAAGATCTTTATTAAAGATAGGAACATTTTCTCTAAATTGGAGTCACTGATTTCACAAATAGGTAAACACAAAATCAGACGAAAATTTGACTGAGATTTTCCAATAATCTTATTGTAGATTGGAATCACCAGTCTCCACAGTGTCAGATTGATCGCTGATTGAACAACCACCTAACGTATATAAATAATTGACAACATAGACTAGGGAGGAAGACTTGTTGATCAAATGGATAACCTGGCATGCACAATCAATAACTCAGTCATATGAATCGAATAAAAACCTATATAATTGCCTTATGTGGAGCCGGTTTTCAGTAATCTATATTACAGATGACGCAGACTCAGATAAGTATTGACATCCACGTATTTGTAGTGTCTTTGTGAGCAGTGTAGCAGAAATATGCCGTTATGTTACTCGGTTTGTCAACTCTGCGTTTCTTTCAGAGAGTCTATAATATAGTTAAGATTGTTAATTTGGTAACATAAAATTATCAAATCAATACATGCGTTCATCAAGAATCAAACTTCTGCAAACGATAATGATTTGAAAATATGCTGAAGTTCATTGGGAGCAACTATGACCATCGTTTTCAACTACACAGAGTATTTCAGACCATCCACCAACGGAGAGGTGGTGGCTACGAACATGATATTCAGCAATACATGATATTACAGAACATTAACCTAGGTGGCCATTACAACCATATTAAGTAGAAAACGGTTAACCGGAAATATCTTGTCTTGTTAGAAAAGCTGTATGACTTCTTCAATACGATTGACTGCAAATTTAATTTCGATTCCAAAAACAGAAATCTGCAAGCATAGCTAGAAGCAAGAAATGTAATGAGTCGACGGAATCGTATCATTGGTTAAACCACGAGAATTGTTATCATGTCTCTCTCATCTTCGCAATGTCAAGCTATCACGAACTTCGTACTTATACCTTGACTCCAATAGCCAATATTTTCACAGAATGCAGCGATTTGATAAGAGCTCGCGCCAGCAAATACAACCAATGAGAGCCCCCAACAGAAAGACAGAAAACATTATGGCTTTGTGTTCACAGACTTTTTGTCGAGACCTCTGATTAGCTGAATTCGCTAACGTACAATCCAATCAAATCGATTCATTTACAAAATTCCATGATGCAAGAAAGGAGAATATTGCAGTCAAGTTATAAGTATGAAGTTTGTAATAGCCCGAGATTGTGAAGATGAGTCTCTCGAAGACCTATGATTGATATACTTCAACAAGTTTCATCTAGCAAATCTAGACGATTCATTAGTACAAATCAGTCAAACAATATAAACTCGTCAGCAAGCTTGGACAGTTTTCAAATTTTACTAAAAAAAATAAATTCATATGGCTTGTTATTCGTTTAAGCGAACAAACTTTTAACTCGCTCTTATGTGTGTTTTATCGATTTGCTAATGCATTTGATCAAGTGGGCTGCAAAGTTGAAAATTAAACGCAATGAATACATTTACAGACTCAATTTGAAGGAAAGTAAAAGCCAAGATTTGAAACTAAATTTAGAAATTCGTCGAGCAGAAATATGTCATTTTATCCGTTTAATCTAGCACAACTAACTACTGAAGCGCGTGTAATGGTGGCAAATTTGTCTGATTCGAATATTTTTTCTGTTAATGATTTAATCTAAAACAAGTTGTTTTTTTAACATTAATACTGGCAACTATGACGTCATTAAAAATTCTTATGACGCTTTGATTTTTCTACGACGCACATTCGCTTTCAAGTTTCATTAAGTTAGAAATTTATAAAAGTAAATGTACGTAACTAAAAGGAAAGTGTTTTAAAAATTCACACTTGGTGCCTTTTGAGATTCTATCAAATAAAAACGAATGACTGACTTGCAACATTTTAAAGTTTTATGCACATTTAAGACCAGTCAAATCCAATTAACCCAAAGACATCACAAAACTAACCTCTTGATTTGATAAGCAACAGATCTAGACGCTGAGCTGAGAAGGACGTAACAATTTAATGGAGACCACCAGACATCTTTTCATCCAATTTTAGAATGAAGTATCTGTACACCATGGGTATGTACTTTTGGTGAAAAGAGATCTATATACCGAGCAGAGGCGGAACAGACAGGATGTAACAGGTTAATCGAGACTACCGATTTAAGAATGAAGTATCTGTACCACCATGCGTCTCTACTTTAAGTGAACAGAGATGTAGATGCTGAGTAGATTCAGAACGCAGAAGGACATACCAAGTCGACAGTTTCTCATCCGATTTTCGAATCAAGTATCACCATCCCAGATCTGTACTTGAAGAAGTCAAACCACCCTTAAAGGGATTGTAAAGATTCCTGCAATTCCTCTTCAACAAAGTGTTCCTTTCGTCATACAGGTGGAGCTATATCTGCTTCGTCATTTCTATTTAACATCTTTCTAGATCAACAACGTTTCACTTGGAATTATTCTGACAAGATTGAGAGTGTGTTAAAGTAGATACCAGAACGTGCCCAAGTCTCGTCTATTTCAATGTCTTCCTTTGAAAAGCTACAACTCTAACGGAACTCTTATTTTTTTTCTTCTTTATAAAACCGAGAACAAAGAAAAGGAAATATAGTTGTGTACATTTGTTTTGTTGAATACATTCATTACTTCTATGAAGCTTCTTAAAACGAGCACAAAACTTCCATTAAGACTGTGATAACACTAAGAAAACCTTACAAATTAGCCGATTCCGCTTTCCGTTTTTATGTAGAAAGTAGTCTTTGTATAAATATTGATTTAAATAGACATTATAGATTTCTCCGAAGAAAAATGAAAAATATTGAAGACGTTGTCAAGCGTACAGGGAAACAATAGAATTAATGATAACCTTATAAAAAATCCATTATACTTTGGTTATTATATAATCTTGTATTTGTACTTTCAATTTCTGTTTTATTGATTTCTTAGCTATTTATACCCAAAATATCCCCTTAGTACAAGTCCACTTTTTTACAGACATACTCATCTATGAATACTATTGGGAAAAAGTAATGAAAGCTGTATACTCGTGTTCTTGGCGATTGTGAAAACGTACTGTTTACGTATTATATAAACCGCTTAAATCAACTGTCTGCGATGCTGTTTGTGGGAGGTGACATGGAAAAGTGTCGAGTTGTTCAAATGAAACACGAAAAACAGGACCTTATCGAGCTACAGACTGTAAACATCAAAACTGTCAAGATATTCGGAATTTGAGATTATACTAAGAAGAATTTTCATTAAAAACAGTAACTACCTCGCTCCATATAACAAATGATAAGCCAGTTTTAACTTTTCATGAAGAATCACCATATATTAATAGGAAGCCCATGTAATGATCGGGAGATTTACAAATGATGAATAAAATCCAAGCTGTACTAGCAAGCACAAGCTCGACAAGAAGAGTTTTGAGGTCCTGTTTTACTGTTGAAGAGGTAAATACAAATAATTTCACAGATGCGTAAAATATTGAACAAACATGGCCAATAACACCTCGTAAATATTTCAGTGTGAGATGTAAATAATCAGACGAGTCTAGTAATTCAATCTACCAGTTGTAAATTACTATACTGAAGATGTACTAAATGTAAATCACTAGATAATAGATTGTACTTACAGTACAATATTTATTCGAATGTATTGATAAACTAATATCATGACATATTTACAGAACAATTGCAAATCGGAGAGCAGAATCGATTCTTGTATTGATTATAAACAACCAGACACCAGAATTGCTGGGTTTACGTAGACTGTTGATTATAAACAACCAGACACCAAAATTACTGGGTTTACGTAGACTGTTGATTATAAACAACCAGACACCAGAATTACTGGGTTTACATACACTGTTGATTATAAACAACCAGACACCAGAATTACTGGGTATACGTACTGTTGATTATAAAGAACCAAACACCAGAATTACTGGGTTTACACACACTGTTGATATAAACCACCAGACACCAGAATTACTGGGTTTACATACACTGTTGATTATAAACAACCAGACACCAGAATTACTGGTTTTACACACAGCGTTGATTATAAACAACCAGACACCAGAATTACTGGGTTTACACACACTGTTGATATAAACAACCAGACACCAGAATTACTGGGTTTACATACACTGTTGATTATAAACAACCAGACACCAGAATTACTGTGTTTACACACACGGTTGATTATAAACAACCAGACACCAGAATTACTTGGTTTACACACACTGTTGATTATAAACAACCAGAGACCAGAATTATTGGGTTTACACACACTGTTGATTATAAACAACCAGACACCAGAATTACTGGGTTTACACACACTGTTGATTATAAACAACCAGACACCAGAATTACTGGGTTTACATACACTGTTGATTATAAACAACCCGACATCAGAATTACTGGATTTACATACACTGTTGATTATAAACAACCAGGCACCAGAATTACTGGGTTTACACACACTGTTGATTATAAACAACCAGACACCAGAATTATTGGGTTTTACGTAAACTATTGATTATAACAACCAGACATCGGAATTATTGGGTTTACGTAAACTGTTGATTATAGACAACCAGAAACCATAATAGATGGGTTTACGTATGTTGATGATTATAAACAAGACCAGATACCAGAATTACTGATTTTACATAAACCGTTGATTATAAACAACCCGAAACTGGAATTACTAATTTAATGTAAACTGTTGATTGTAAACAACTAGACATCAGAACCATTGTGTTAACGTAGACTGTTGATTATAAATAACCAGACACTTTAACTACTGATTTTACATAGATTGTTGATTGTAAACAACCAGACACCAGAATTACTGTGTTTTCGTAGACTTTTGATTATATATAACCAAACACTTTAATTACTGGTTTTACATAGATTGTTGATTATAAACAACCAGACACCAGAATTACTGTGTTTACGTAGACTTTTGATTATATATAACCAGACACTTTAATTACTGATTTTACATAGACTGTTGATTATAAACAACCAGACACTAGAATGACTGGGTTTACATAGACTGTTGACTATAAACAACCAGACACTTTAATTACTGGTTTTACATAGACTGTTGATTGTAAACAACTAGACACCAGATTTACTGGTTTTACATAGACTATTAATTATAAACAACCAGACACCAGATTTACTGGTTTTACGTAGACTCTTGATTATAATTAACCAGACACACTAGCTATACCAAAATATCCTGTCCTATGTCTACTTATAAATGAGCTCATAGTAGTCCTAGTAAATCCGAAGCTAGACACATTACACGTTTATGAGCTCTTGCTAGATACAAAATAACTAGACACAAATTTATATATTGTAAAAAATTTATACAAATAGACAATAAGATAACTTCTTATTTGTAAAACAGACAGGGGTCTTACCTATAATAATTATGATTTGTTGTTCCACTATGACCAGACGCTAGTCCAACATCTGTAATACATATATTGTGAACATAATAACTAATCAATTGTGCAAAATGTTCTTCTCCTCACAAAAATTTGTGTCATCTTCTGTAAATGAGATGTCGAAGACTTCCCGTGAGTCAGTAGCCATACTGCACAATACACTTAAGCAATACGTATATGTAGGAAACTATCCTTACTGAGTGCAAACAATCAGATTACAACTGACAGTAAATAAACATATATAAAATTTGTTGTTTGTAAAAAATCAGTCATCAAAAAAACTCCGAGTGCATATTAATGAACGCATCCTGATTTGTACTGATACACAAAACATCTAGTATTTGCGTTGTATGTCACAGCACTCGTATTTGAAAAAAATAAACTCTAAGCAATTAATTCTAATATTAAATGAGAGTACTGCCAATATACGTCAATAAAATCAGTTTAATGATTAATCGTCATATAATGATTTGGATAGAGAAAAGATCGAATGATTAAATTGAAAATAACTGGGTTGGATTTGACGGGTAACAATGGTGAATACATGATGTTGATTATGAAAAGTAATTGAGTTTGTGTGTAGATTAGCGATAGATTAACATCGACAATGGTTACAAATATATCCATCTACTAATGTGACCGTGCTTTCATTTCAAAATAAACACAGCTAAACTAATTTTGTTTCGGATGGTGTGCTATTACTAATGTCGCATTGTCCTTATCGTTATCAATTACCATTTGTGAAATGAAATGAAGTTTCGCGTCTCCCGTTCATGCTGATAATAATGATAGAAATCACCATGCAGTGTGCAGTGAGGAATATTTTGCAAGGACAGGGTTACTAGCCTATACTCCATCTCCAACTCTCCTGCAGCTACAGCGTAAAGCTCCTCGAGCCTCAGTTTATAGTCTCATTGGACCTCTTAATCTTTTACTGCAATCTGTCCAAATGTTGACCAAAACTATTTAGAGTGCTTGAAGTTGATGGCGGTGGTTATCTAGCCTATGGGACTGTTAAACTTATGATGCCAAAAAAATACACCAATATTATATTCTAATTCTGACGTAGTTAACCAGCATTGATTCAAACAAAAACAAAAAGAAGAAATATACACCAATACATGTAAACGGATCAGCAACCTCCCTTCAACAACTGAGCTACAATGAGAAGCGAGGATACAGAAAGCTGCTGTTACATCTTAAATAATTACAAGCCTGGTTGGTTAGTTGGTATTTGACAAGTTACCATCCACTCCAGCAGAAGCTGATATCAAACACTAGATAGTTGTTGGTAGTCATGTTAAATGGTAGTTGGATGGTTTAATCACATGGTTTGGTAGTGCGAGCAAGAAGTTAAGTTCAATGGACTAACGCCGGGTCGCAATGTGCTAAAATTTCTTAACGTATGATTTTTTTGATTAATAATACATTAATAACATTTTAGCACTATTCTTGTCAAAGATATCGATGGAAAATAAAACAAAAAGATCAGTCAAGTATTCAAAGTCACCAGACCTTTTACTTGACGATATTGGCGGATAAGACGTCACGATAATGCTTGTTTACGTTCTGACAATAATACCAAAGAAGTTAAGGAATCTCGAATGGTGGGTCGCTTTATTATTTAATGAATATTAGACAACCAACTATGTGGAGAATGAATTAGAACAATAATAAACGTTGTCATTTTACAATTCTTTTTTATTTCACAAACTTGCGTTCTGTTTTTAGCTTTTATTTCTAATAGAGCCACTTCAGTTAGGGTCTAACGACAGCCCCCCTGAACGTTCGTCAAATTAACCTTTTGCCCTAAACTGATAAACAGCGATCACAAAAGAGAGGGTACAAATTTGATTGGTTAAAGCAGACGTCATCGAGTTAGGCCAAAATGTTAATTTCAAGAACGTTCAACTGGGCTGTTGTTAGACCCTAACTGAAGTGGGTATTTAAAAAAAAGGGTATTAAAAACGGAAAGAAAGTTTGGTTTAATTTTAATCACACTGACAAAAAGTATCATTTACGCTAATGGCTAGACAAAACTAGACAAATTAAGTGAAATGTAGGTTTAAAACCTGAAAAAATACAGCAGTGAATATTTCAATGAATTTTAACTGAACATTATCTTAATGTCCTACATTTCAGCATCTTACTGCGCCACCAAAACCCGTTTATTTAATAACTTTAACTGATATCTACATGCAGTTCTGTTTTCAACAACCCAACTTATATCTGGGAGAATGCAGATCAGAACTGAACCAATCGTAAAACCAATTATAAAAATTGAAATTAGTTATCATGTTGTACAGTTCAGTACTGAACCGATGAACAATTTAAAAAAATAAACTGACCTGTGTTTAAGTCGAAACTTCTACATCAGAAAAGGCCAAATAAACTGATATGTACTATTGTTCAGAACATTAATGGGCCAATTAACAACTGTGTAAACTAATTCCAAATATTACCATGGAAAATGATCTGTTATATACCACAGTTCAGCATTTTACTGGGCCATATGAATTGGTGTCTTACTTTCATTTCTTGAAGTTCAGCAATTTATTTGGCCAAGTGAACTGACATTTTAATTCATGTCCTACGGTTCAGCACTTTAATGAACCTTATGAGTTACATTATACAGAGCGACAAAACTCTAGTTTAAACGTATATAAAGGCAAGACGGCTGAATAAACCACAGATTAATTTGATCTAAATATATTTGTATTTCATTTGTTAATAACCGATATGCTATCCATAAATATATATGCTCGGAAATTAATTAGAAACATAGTCTGAAAATAAACACTGATGATCATGTTCGCTGCCAATAATGTTTTTACCATTATTTTGCTATATGTTAGTTCAGATTGTGAATAAATTTCACATTATTGTAATTAGATGTTGTTTAACACTGACAATTCATTTCCACTAATTAAATGTTCTTATAATGCAAAACATATTCTATTTACAGGAGCATTTCCTATCCAGGTCACAATACCTAGTCTCGCATGGACGATTCTCAGACCTTCAAGAGTCTAGTCAGTCACTGACATTTGGGTTAATATGACATATTAAGATCGTAACCATTAACTTTATCAAGGAAAATGAGACAAATGCATCATACCGAATATGACGACAAATAAGAATAATAAAAAAAAAAACATTTATAAGAAAAAAATAACATTTTGTAAGAAAAAAAAAAAAAAATTAAATATTAGATCCGCTAAATATTAGCTTTTTAGACGTCTATGGTGAAGGTGGTCTTACCAAAGCAAAAATACCCTAGTTACGGCATAGAAACTATAGACACAGCTTTGTAATACAACAATCACTAGTTTATGCAACGTTTCCACGTGTTTCTCTCGTCGTCTTCACGAGTCTACCAGTTTTTTCTTAGAGATATTGTTGTAGCACGTGTTTGTCTCAGATAAAACCAACAGACATAAATTGGCATAACTAAAAAGGCAAAAAGGACATTAATATGGCTGGTCCAAAAAGTACCATAGTTTTATTAAGTTGTGGCAATATACGTTTGTCCCAGTTGATAGCATCGACAGACGCATGTTGGCATAGGCCTGACCAAAAAACAAATTACCGCATCAGCTAGTACAGAAGATTCCACAAGTTTTCTTTACCAGAACTATACCATTGCATAGCATTTCAAAAGTTCCTGAGGTCATAAATAGCATAACGAAAAGTTTTGGAGAACCACTGGGGCACGATGTTGCCATTAACCCATTATGATTCGACACACATCTTTTGAACTTGGCGTCGTCTTCATTAGCCAAATCAGATGCAGAAATGTAGGTCGTAAAACTTTATTCATTTCATTTTTGGATGGCAGACAAAATTGGCTTAATTTTTTCCAACACACCTGACAAAAAGACATATTAGAATCTAACGTCGCCAGTGTGTTTAGACCTAAATTCCAGTACAAAGTTATAACAATGAGGCAAAGACAAAAATGTTTTTCTTATATAAGATGTAATCTTTCAAAATGATTAAACTTTTCTGTTCTCCGGTAAGTAGTGTCTGGAACGGTGATTATAATAATACTACATTG